CCTTCCCTCTTTTGGGATGGCAGCCAAAAGGGAATGAAAAACCCGAGGAGGGCGAGCAGCCATCCCTGACAGTCTGGACAACAAAGCTTTCGGATCCTCCTGCTCCTGCCGGCAGCCAAAACATCCCGGGCAGCCTGCAAGGAGCTGTGGCTCACACGGGTGAGTGAGGAGCAGCTTTTGCAACCCACAGAGCCCAGCCTGGGAAAGGCAGCTATCAGTGCCAAGCATCTAAGCCACAAAGATCAGTGCAGGGGGAAAGGCAAAGGGAAAGCACACAGGGGCAGAGCAGCTCACTCCAACACCCCGATAAGGAACTGAGGCACCGAGGGTGAACAGGAGGCCTTGGTCACGCCACGGGGCTGTGGCAGGTGAAAACAGAGCTGCCACGTGCTCTGCCTGCCTACACACACCCCGAGAGCCAGCCCTCGTGTGCTGGCATCTCCAAGGCAGCCCTTGGTGGGTTCTGCATCCCCAAAATCCTGATTTTACACCCCTCAGGGTGCACCTGCTCCGCCCCACCTGGCTACACAAGGTGCCCAGCACACACCACTCACAGACAGGAGCGGGCAGAGCAGCAAAACGCTGCAAACTGCAACGAAGGGCTGTGCCCTGCTCAACCCTCACTCCAATTTTCCTTAACCCCGAGCTTTCCCATGAAAAACCAGAGGGGCGGGTTTGGTCAGAAACTAAGAGATCCAGGCTAAGTGTGAATCCTGCACAAAACCAGCTCGCAGCTTTGTGCTCCTCCTGCAGCCCTGGCTACCCCACCACATCCTTTCAGCACAGCGAGACACTGGAGGATGTGAGCAAGCCCGAATCCTGCCCTTGCCCCAAACAATAGGCTCCGCAATAATGGTGCAACCAGAATTTCCTGTGCGGCAGCGCGCGCCAGCTCCCGGGAGAAAACACCCTGGGAAAGCTCTGCCACGGGAACACGGCGTCAGGGCAGCTCCTGCCCGTGCTGGGATGCTCCTTTGGCATCAGGGAAAGCACCACAACCGAGCCCAAGCTGGGAAGAAGGGGGAAAAAACCACACCAGTGGCTTGGAACAGGAGCCATCCAGGCCGGGAATGGCTGTGGATGATCCATGACTGCAGCAGCCTCTTGCAACATCTGGACCTGGCTTTTCTCTCACGGATGTTTCTTATCCTGCAGTGCTTGGGAAAGCAGCACGGAACAGGCTGGGGTTTGGGAGGCCCGTGGAAATCTCTCCATCTCTCCTGGAAAGGTGGCACAGGTGCAGCAAGAACAGAGGCTGCAACTGCAGCCAAAATGCTCCAGTGTTGGAGCATCTGTCTGGAAGGAGGGATCAGCACAGCCCCTCACCCTGAGAAAAGCCAAGGACAAGCTCCTATAGCAAAGCAGGAATGGTGGCTGAGCTCAGGCTGGAGCAGGGGAAGAGCACAAGGAGTGCCCTGAGAAGGAAGGAGAGGCAGAGCCGAGGTGATGAACTGGCCACAGCCACCACTCTCCATCGCCCTGCACCTCCGAGGGGGGCAAAGGGAAGAAACTGGGAAAGCAGTCGAGCCTGGGAAGAAGGGAGGAGTAGCAGGAAGGTGTTTTTAAAATCTGGTTTTATTTCTGCACACCTTCCCCATCCCTCCAGGAAGCCCATCACTCTAGATGTGCAGAGAGATCAGCATTTACTGCAGAAGGAAAAAGCTCAGGAAAGGGGTGATGGCACCTGAGCCTGGCTTAGCACAATCCTGAACCATTGGGGATGCTCCAGGACCTCCATGAGACCTCCTGGAATGAACACAAGTGGCCCAATTCAGTCCCTTCCTGCTGGATTTAGCACACAGACTGCACCCCAGCAGCTGGCACATCAAGGAGGGAACCAGAGAAACAGAACCACGGTTTTCACCCCATTTCTTCCATCACTCCCCTAATTTGCCTCTGCCTTGCTCTCCCCAGGGGTGAAGAGGGGACGAGGCTCCCACCAAGCTGTGGGCACCAGGGCAGGGCTTTACAAGCAGCCTTTACAACCCCCCTGCACCTGCAGCAGGTAAAGGCTGAAGGGCAGAGAAAGCCAAGCCCTGATGCCAGGATTAAGGAGGGCTCTGGGATGGGGACAGAAGAGCTGAGGACAGAGATGCTGAACACACTGCCTGGGACCCCAAATCCAACACACACAAAAAAACAACCCCCAGAGCCCAGCACAGCTCCTGGTGTGCCTCAGAGAAGGCCTGGCTTTACTGGGCAGGACTGGGTCAGGATGAGCAATGGGCAGCTCAGCACCACCTCCCGACAGAGGGGACATGGAGCTGTGGGCTCCACACCCTCTTTCCAGAGAGGAAAAGCAGAGAAACCTCACCAAGAACACCAGAGCTCTCAGAGCTCAACCTACAGCAAGGAACAATTACTGCGAGATAACTGGAAAATACATTTTTAAAGAGTTCCCTCAGAGAAAAAAAAAAAAAATTCAAGGATACTCCACAGTTTATTATTTTACCAGCTACATGGAGCCATTAAGCTGCAGTGGGACTGGGAGCTGGTCTCCTTGCACTCAAGCCCTAAATGACCCAAAATTCATTTATTAGTGTTTATTTGCACAAGAATTTTCCCCAAAACTCTGCAGTTCCCAGACATGCATCGCTGCCTAATCCTCCAGCCAAGCTCACCCTGCCCATCTCCCCGCCACCAAAATCCTGTGATGTTTGCAAAATGCCCCCTTCTGGCAAATTCCAGCTCGGGTTTTCAGGTCAGGCTGTGCAAATGAAGAAAACTCAGATAAATCTGTCATTTAATGGAAAATTAATCCTGTGTCCTAATGTCAGCACCAAGCCAGAAAAAACCTCCTCCCCACAGCTATTGCACGCTGGATGCAAGAAGGCCAAATACAACAAACTTTTCATAAAAAACACCTCACAAAAATCCAAGCTGGTGATGCTGATGCCCTGAAACAAGGCTGGCAGGGGGCCATGGGGCAGGACACGCGGTGGCATCCCTGGCTCGTGGTGCCAGCAGGAACCCAGCCCATGGAGGGGTGGGGGTGGGAGCAGCTCCCACCCATCCTGAGGCAGAGGAATTCTATAAAATCAGCTGATATCAATGCAAATATTGGGGAAGTCTTTGGGATCAGCAGACACAAATACAGCAGCAGGAATACAGGCAAAAATAACTGCTCCGAGTGGCACTGGGTCGCAGTAATTAACTGTGGGGTTTTCAGCTCCCCAACTCAGATCATTGGGATGCCCCAGACTATTGCTGAGGCTTAGTAAGGAAAATTGAAAAGCAAATCCATTCTCAAACTTCACCTGGAAGTTTCAGAAGAGGCTGCAAGCTGAAGAGAACAAAAACCCACTGAACAGGATGGCTGAGAGCAATTAGCACTCAGGAAAAGGAGCAGTAACAGCGGGCAGGAGCCTCCTGAGCTCAGGAACCAGGATGGGAAGAAATTACCTTTACAACAGCTGTGGGATGAACCAAAAACGGAGCAAAAGATCAGAAATCAACTTGTTGCACCTGTGGCTTTTAGTTTCCAGATTCGTCTTTCCAAAGCAGACTTTTCTGCAGCACTTCCAGCTGAATTTATCAGGAGGCTCCCTCAAGGAGGGGATGAATTTTCTCTCCCTTATGATGATGCACCTGACTTCCTCCTCCCCACCAGCGGCTTCTTCCCTTGGACCATGTCTTTCCACCTGTGCCAGTGATGCCACCACCCAGGGCTCCTGGGAGTCCCACCTGGACGAGCTCCTGAGCTCTGGGACAGCTCCTTGTGTGCAGGAGAGCAAGGCAGCGAGGTCACTGTCACCCCTCTGAAGGACAGAGCCCTCCCTGAGGCCACAGTGGGCACCTCAGTGCCACACAGGGGGGCTCGGAGCAGCTCCGAGTCCGTACCCTGGACACCAAGGATGAGGGGCAGCACGGTGTGCCCTCGCCACCCTACACAAACACCCGGTCAGCTCTCCTTGCAACGCACAGAAATCAGATTAATTCCAGGAAAATGAGGTGGCAGAGCAGAAATTCAGCACTCCCAGTCCCTGTCTGGTCAATGAGGCACCAAAAGCCACTGGAATGAGCCGTGCTGCCAGCACTGGAGCAGGGCACCCAAACCCTCCATGCAGGAGCTCCAGCAAAGCATCCACCTGCTCCAGCACTTACTGTAACAGACCTAAATTTGGCAATTTGACTTTCCCCAAAGCCAATCGGAGACGATACCGGGAAGGGAGTGAGCAGCATTCCATAAATACTGGATTTAGAGAGTTACAGTAGGTTTGGACCCGGCAGGGAGGGTTTAACCAGCTGCAGGCAGCCAGGGCTGGCCCGGGCACCGCAGCCCGGCCCCGCCGGAGCACGGAGCCGGGATCTGGCGTCACTCGGGAAGACTCGTGCCTTGTTTTATAACAAAACCCCAGGGAGGAGCAGGGAGGTGATATCAGCCATTAATCCCCGTGTTTTGAAATCCCTCACCTCATAAATGCTCATGTGTAAAACCAACCCACCAAGGTGGAGGTGGGAACAGGAACCCTCAGGGTCTGTGAACACCTGAGTGAGACTTTCTCTCCATCAGCTTCCCCAAGACCACTCAAACCAGTAAGAAGCGAACGCTCCCAGGCACGGAACTCCCACCAAAACCCAGAAATGCTCCCCTGGACTCAAAGGCGCCTTGATTCACCCTGGGCGAGCAGCGACCCAGTTCCTCGGGAGCTCACAGGGTGCGAACCAGCCTCAAACCGCTCAATTCTGACACACGGCGGAAAATAAACCCAGTCCCGGGCCCCGGCTCAGCTTCGAGCCGGTGCTTCCTCAGCAGCTCCCACACAGCCGAAAAAGCCCAACAAAGAAAAGATTCCCACGTGATGTTATATAAAAAAAGGGAGGTTCTGCGAAACTAATCCCAACTTCGCGGCTCTGTGAGCGTTCCGGGGGACAGGAGGGTTTGTCCTGCAGGTACCTGCGCGGGGTGACACGGGGGCCAGAGCACAAGGAGGAGGGATGCGACACCTCACTCATCGAAGCCGCGGCTCCGGGGGTGCCGGTGCCGGCCCCGCTCTTACCTCGCTCACCGCATGGCCCCGGCGCCGCAGCTCCGCCGTCCCGGCGATCGGGGCAAAACTCTGTGCTGGCGTCAGAAAGTTGAAATGTTTTTAAAAAAAAAAAAAAAAAAAAAAAAAAAAAAAAAAAAAAAAAAAAAAAAAACAAAAAAACACAACAACAAAAAAAAGCTTAAAAATAAAAAAGTTTTAAAACACCAAAAAAACCCAACAAAATAAAACTTTAAAAAGCGCCCGAAGGTGCGAGCTCCTGCGAGGGACTCGAGTGAAAGCAGACGCGGCCCCGCTGCGGAGCCGCTCCGCCGCCCTCCCGGCGGCGCCGGGCGCTCCCCGCCGGCCCCGGCCCGGGAGCCCCGGCAGGGCCGGCGGAGCGCTCAGGGGGCGGCGGCGCGGCCCCCCCCGAGCCGGGCTCGGGCCGTCCCCGGCGCCCGCCCGCGGGCAGCGGGGTTCGGGGGGCGGCCGCCGGGGCCCGGCGCGGCCCGTGCTGCTCCGCGCATCCCCCGCAGCCCCGTCCCGTCGGGGCCCGCCCGGCGCCGCCGCTGCGCGCACCCGGCACCGGCGGCGAGCGACGCGAGGCGAAGCGGCCGCTCCGTGCGGTGCCGGCCGCGCTGCGGGACCGCCGTGCCCCCGCCCGCCCCGCCCGGCTCCGCCCCGCTGTCCCGGCAGCTGCTCGGGGCTGCGGGCGATGCCCGCACGCAGCGCCCGGGGGTCGCTGTCCCCGCCGTGTCCCCGCCGTGTCCCCGCCCCGCTCCGGCCAGAAGAACAATCGGAGGAAGCCCCGGCCCGTCCCACGCACCCCCGGCCCCGCGGGCTGAGCGCTGCGCGGCTCCCCAAAAGGTGCCCGGCCGCTCCAGCCACACCATCCCCAAAATCCCTTCCACAGTGACAAGGGGACACCTTGCCTAGCCTAGGGCACACCCAACACCAGCTCTTCCATCACTACTGAGCAGCCCACGTGGTGGGAATTAAATTTACCTCGATTTTATCCAGGGTTCTGATTCCCGAATGGAGTTGCTCTAACTCCATTATCTTCTGTGATGTCTGTTTTTTTTCAAGCTTCTCTTGTTCCCTGCCTCAGAGAGGAAGAGCCCTTCTTTCCCCTGCTGGGAGAGGAGACCTTGTACACAGCCACAAACCCACTTGGGCAACCCCAGCTCGTTTGGGCCTGAGCAGGTGCTTCAAATCACTCCTTGAACCCAGAAACACCTGGAGAACCTCACCAGCCCTTGAAACCAGAAACACCTGGAGAACCTCACCAGCCCTTGAAACCAGAAACACCTGGAGAACCTCACCAGCCCTTGAAACCAGAAACACCTGGAGAACCTCACCAGCCCTTGAAACCAGAAACACCTGGAGAACGTTACCAGCCCGGTTCCCCACAGAACCAAGAATCACCAAGGCTGGAAAAGCCCTCTCAGACCATCCACTGCAACATTCCCCCAGCACTGTCAAGGCCACCGCTCACCCATGTCCCCAAATGCCACATCCACACATTTTTTGAACACTGAAAGCTTAACAGGACAAGGCAGAGTTTTCCCACCCTGACCATACATCTCCCTCTCCATAAATCCCTGCAAACCCAGGCCTGCTCTCCACCCATGTTCCCACATGGATAAACAGGAGATCACACAAATACAAGGATTGCTTTGAAGAAGCTGCCTTCATAACATGAAAAGTATTACAAGGAAATGAAATAATTATTTGGACAAGGCTTAGTGGATTTAATTGCTGCTTGTAATTGGTGTTTTAAGTTATGTTAACAGTGTTTCCCATGGAGAGGCAGCTGTGTGCCACAGAACGAGGCTGTTGTTAATAGGATAACCACAATTAAGTGTAATTGGGAGCATCATATCAATCACTCCTTGGAGCAGCACGAGTGCAGAGTTTTCCACCTGCTTTTCTGATGGTTTCCATGATGCATCAAAGCCAAAGAAAATACTCGAAATTCACCAGGGGCGGCAAGAAACTCCTTAACTTTCTGTGCCATTGGCCCATTGATGGGGAGTTAATCTCAGAGGCAAAATTCCATCCCAGTTCCTCCCAGGAACCAACACCTGATGGAACAGCATTGTGGCAGGGCAGCGTTTGAGGCTGAGCTGCCTCCCAAGGACAGCTCAGCCCTGCTGGTGCCACACAGGGGTCACATCCAGCCCCCTCCCCATCCCATAAACACCTGGCACCACGGGAAGCACGCACAGAGCTGCTGTCCTGGGGATCAGACACCTGGGACTGGGGAGATGGGGGCTCTGCTCCAAACTGTGCTTAATAGTCCCACTCAGAACATTAAGTGGTGTCGTCTCCTGGTTTTCTCCTCAGGGGAAACAGCTAAAAGCTCCCTCCCTTTTCCAGGAAAGGTGAGACTCTGAGGGGGTCACACAGCTGCCTAAGCTGGGCTTGAAGAAAACCTTTGGATGCATTAAAAAAAGAAAAACAAAAACCACAATAGCACAAAATCCAGGGGCAGTAACACTGATGTGTCCAAATGGAGGAGGGTAACACCTCACAACCCCAGCCCTTTTCCCCCCTAAACCCTAGTTTAGATTATGTAACCCTGAAATTTTAAACATAACCCAGCAGGCAGGGTTGGCCCTTGGGGTGGCCTCCCCAGCCACAGTCCCCTCCTCCCTCCTCACCTCTCCCCCAGCTGACATTTTGCTTCCAGAGCCATCCAAGGACATAACCCCCACAGGGCTCTTGAAATGTCTCTGAAGTGCAAAAAAAACAGAAAAAAAAAGTGATAAGGAATTAGCAGCCTCTTGGAAACCCAAACAACGTTTCTGCAGTGATGGAGGAGTCAGAAAATGTGATTAAATGTGATTAAGACATCCCCACCGCTCCCTGCTAGGGTGCCTGTGAGGAGCTCAGTCCTACTGAACTGCAGCTGCCTTAGCCAGGGGACCTCAGGCTCCTGCAGGGGTTCAGATTCACGACTGGGTCAGGTCAGGAGTGGCTCACAAAACACCCAGCTTGATAAAATAGGGTTTTGATAAGCTTCTCCCGGTAGGTCCCCAGGGCAGGGACCCACAGTGTCACCCCATCCCATAACCTGCAGTCCCTGCCACTCTCACAGTGCCCTGAAATCCATGACAGCACAAGCTCACAGACTCCTTAATCCTCATTTTTCATTCAAACCAGGTGATGCAGGCTCCTTGCCCTGCCCAGAAGGGCTCAGCACTTCCATACTCCCAATATATTCCTAAACTTTCACCTTGATTAGGTCCCAGCAGTTTCTTGTCTCCTTTCATTTTCTCTCACATTCAGTTCAGAGCATTTGAGCTGAGGCAGGACAGCGGGGCCCAGCACCCTCCCACCACAGCTGGGCATCAAATCCCAGCTCCCAGGTGGGCACAGGCTGAGCTTTGCCTGGCTAGCAGCTGGTGCCATGCCCTGATGCAGGCAGGGAATCCCAGGAACTCCCTGCAGCCCCCAGCCCACCCTGGGAGTCAAACCCAGACAGGTCCTCCTAAACCCAGGCCGTTTCCCACCTCACTGTGCTTCTGGTACTCCCCCTGGCTCTCAGGATGGACAAACGCCTCCAACTGGGCAGGGGAGGCTTAAATTCAGGTGCTCCTGGGCTCCTTAGCCCAACAGCCACTCTCAGAGCCTCCAATTAATTCATCAAGGGGCCCATGGGCCAGGTGTGGTGGCCCTGACGAGCTCGGGGCAGGGATGGGGACAGCTTTAGGCACGGCCGGTGTGATGCCAGGTGAGGGACAGTGGGCTGCACACACATCCCAGGGCCCAGCAGCAGATTTAGTGCACGTTTTAAATAAAGCTCAGCCCCTTGGCTCCAGCCCCACTGGGAGGGGGTGCAGGGGGAGATGCCCTCGGCCCGTGGTGCCCTCACCCCAGCATTGGCACCCACCACCCAGGGTTTGGTTTCCCTAAGATAAGATAAGGCAAGGCAGGCCCACTCACAGCAGGAGATAGAGACTGGTTCTGCCTCCTTTTAACGTTTCAGTGGCTGCAGGATGGGGCAGAGAAAAGCTCAGCTCATTACCAAAGCCGCTCATTAATGGGTGCTGTAATGAGGGGTCATTGTGCCCCTGCCCCCTGCACCCACCCCGTGTTAATCCACGCCTGACTCCTGTCCTTGTCCTTGGCTCTGCTGATTCCTTCTCTGCAAGGATAACTTTTAGGGAGGGGAAGGAGCCTGGGGGTGCATCCCTGGACCAGCAGGAGCTGCCTCAGCGTCACCCACAGGGCCAGAGCCCAGCGGTGGCAAACCACGGCAGGAAATCAACTCAGGGAGGGAAACCTGGAGGAAAGGGTGAGCCCCCCGAGGTGAGAGCTGAGCGTGGGGCACATCCCTGGAGCTGCTCTGCCTCCAGGAGATCCTTCCTGCTGCAATTCCCGGCTGGTTTTCCATAACTCAGCAGAGAGTTTGCTGGATGTGTTTCTTGATGTCCCCGTTTCTCTTGCTGGCTTTGGAGGACTGATGTGCTGCTCCATCTGTGGAGGTTTCTTCACGTGGTGCACCAGCTGCAGGAGTCTCCTTCCACCCCAGAGCGTGTCCTTGGCTCCAGCTCCATCCTTCGGCTCTGCTCCACCCAGGAACGCGCTGGGGAGGATCTTAGCGAGAAACAACAAACAGCAGCAGGAGTTAGCACATCCCCCACATCCACCCCACGCCGAGGAGAGGCCGAGCCGTGCTCTGCCCCGCCACAGGCTTTGGGATTTGCGGGAGAAGCTGCTGCTTGCCGAGGTGAAGCCTCGAGGTGTGCCTGGGGTCAGAGCCGGGGCTACGGCGGCATCCCCCGGG